TGCAGGCTTGTGGTGACTTCTGAGCTATTTCTGTTTGGGGAGGGTGGAAGTTAGAGCAAGGCAAAGTGTTTAAATGCCAGTCAGCCACAACGGCAGTCCCTCTGCCAGGCCAGGCATGGGGGCTGTGAAGGAGGGGCACCCACTCTCCGCTCCCTGGGGCTGTGGGTGCTCAGTTAGTGCTGGCAGGGAAGGTGCTGCCAGCTGCTCGTGCCCCACATGGGTCCACAGGTCCTGACTTGCTCCAAACCAACAGGGCAGGGCAAGTTTTAATTGTCATTATCAAAAGCAAAGTTGATAGTGCTTACTGGATAAAAACAGTCACATGTGGGACAGCGTGTGGTCTTTGCTTCCCAAACTCCCAGTATCATTTGGACTATTGTGGTTTGCTGGGCAACCCGGAAGAAACCAAGACTTTCACCTCTATTCATGTTGCTTTTCCCATTATTTTTTCAGCAACAAACTAGTTAAAATGTCCCAAGAGACACTGGGATCTTGCTGACACCAGCTAGCAAGCAAAATCTATTTCTCAAAAGCTTCACAGAATTTTGTCATTTTGCCGAAAGAAAAAGTCTCTGTTAGTGTTTGGCTCATTTCTCTCTCCTGGATTAGACGCTTGTGCCTCTGCCTCTGCTGTCCTGAGCCCTGTGAAACTGCGCAGAGCACCAGGAGACAAAGGCACCTGAGTGAAACAAGCTGAGCTGGAATTAGCAGCTGGATGCAGGAGGGTGGTCAGGTCAGAAAGCGATGATGCCTCCAGATAAAGTTGCCTGACACTCTGTGTTGAAAGATCCTGCTTTCAGTTCCTTATGGCTTTATGAAATGTGGAAATGGTTTTGCTGAAACTTCCAATGTCAAGTAGCTCCTGGCTGAACACTGTTTTGGTAACATTCAGAAGCAAAGAAATGCTACTCTGCTGTTTTTTTCCCCTCTTAATGCTTTAAGGGGAAAAAAGTGCTTTCACTGAGGCTCTCGCTGCTACACACACACTTTAGGTGGTTTAGCTGAGTAGCTCTAATGGTTTTCTACACTTGAAATTTGTGAAGTATGCCTTTTGCTTCTTTGTGAAAACCTTCCCAAATTTGGGTCACTTGAGACTTTGAAACACTGTGACTTGCACTTCCTCAGAAAAGACACTGGGTATAATACCTGAATTCTCCGAAGAGTGCCTGTGATGCTCAGCAGCCTCGAAATGCTGGGGGAGTGCAGGCAGGACGCCGCCATCTGATCGATGTTGCTGTGTCACTGCAGCCAGAAGGGAGAGGTGAGATGTCTTCCAGCTCCTCTGACCTTCCTTGCTTGCTTCTGGCAGCCTGGGAGGAAGGAGCTCCTGACACCCATAGGGGTAAAAGAGAGCTCTTAAGGATGGCCTTGAAGAAACAGTAGTGGGGATGAATGAAGACTTGAGCATGAAACAGCTGAGGTGTGAGGAAAGAGACCTGGGCAAACCTGTGGAACAGAGCCTCCTGGTCCCTCGGTGGCTGCCTGAATGGCTGTAGGACGTTTCTTAGAGACTTTGGCTGTAGCTGCCTCGCGTCCCGTCAGCGGCGCGCCCCACGCGAACCCCGCGAGCGCTGGGGGCTGGCACTGCTGCG